TATATATATATATATATATGTTATCTTATTTTATGTGATTTTAATATTGTGTGTTTTTTTTTCCAAAATATTTGTATTAGCAGGAAACTCTATCCTAAATAAGTGACTTTTTTTTTAATTTTTTTTTTTGGTATTTGTTTTTAATTCTTATCCAATAATATACAGTATTTGTTGACCAATAAGATAGAACAAGAATTGTATGGCAGAATGTAACTTCCATGTAATATTGCCAACTTTTTTTAGTTGAATCAAGCATTTAATAATTGATTTCATTAAACTTTTACTTTATTATCTTTATCTTCCTGTCGAATTTGAAAAATATTTATCAATTGCAAAATCCCATCATATCATATCCAAGTGATTTTTACGGTTTTATGAGTCAAATTATTTCATAGTAAATATACTATTATAACTCGTTAACAACAATATATTTTCATATGATAATACATTTTTTTTCGTTAGATTTAATTAATAACATAATGCAGCATATACAGTCTTTATCAGGGGGCAAAAGTTCTAAGCCCAAAACTAAAACCCTTTAAGTGTTTTCATATCCAATTACAAAATTTAATTAAAAAACAACATATTTTCTTTTTGTACAACACTTAAAGAGTTAAAGCACTTATTTTGTGTTGTTGTGTGTGTGTGTGTCTTTTTTTGTTATTTTCAATTTTAATTTTTTTGATTGAAAAAAAAAAGAATTACTAATAATTAATGAAATAATCAAAGAAAAAAAAATTTTGATTCATTTTTATAAATACAAAATAGCAATGACGTAATTACATACAAAGCCAAAAATACACCAAGTAGTTTTTTTAACAGTTCCAAATTATACAGAATTCTACTGCAGTAATGTTATTTTTTTTATATACGAATAACTTAAATAATTGTTACATTTGTTTATTCGATTGTTTAATCATTTATTCACATTAAATCTTATATCAATTTCAATATTGTCTCGAATCAATGATTAAAATAAATTCAAAAGTAATTAAAACTGAGTAATCAAAAGTTAATGAATTAAAAACTAAATCATTAATATAACTTATGATATGTTAACTTGTTTTAAATATTGTAATATTATTAACAATTGATAATGAAATACTTTGATTTTTATCAAGACAATTTTTCTATTAAAATATTACATGCATAAAATTCAATGCATATTTATAAAAATGATAAGAAAGCAGAAAAAATGATCAATTTAAATCGTATATATTAATAAGTACTACAATTCATTATAAACTAAATAATCATTTAAATAAATAAAATAGGTTTTCTCTCTTTCTTTTTTTTTTCAGAAAAAAAATAGAATCTTAATAATTGCCTATTTTAACAATTTAATCTAATAACTTAATAATAAAATGCAATAACATTTTGAGCATTTAATACTCAAATAGTATTCTAATTATAACTTGTGTGTAAATCATTATAATATATTGCTTAGATGAATATTTATTTTTCTTACTATTATTATCTATATATATAAATATATATACGTAGGTTGAAACTTAAATAATGGCAACTATTTATTCACAACTGATACAAAAGAGTTACATGTTTGCACCTGTTACTGTCCTTCAAAGTAGTCACCAGCGTTAGCAGATCCTGTTCTGTTGATAGTGCTAATGGAGCGGTTTACTGCCATGTCTAATCCAGTGTTACGATACGGCGTGAAAAAGCCTCTCATTTGCGCTCATAGCGCTCCAAGTACGTCTGAGCAGCATCGTAACTCATCCATTTCTACATTTTCGTCAATTCATGCGGAACCCATCATGGCATTCGCTTCACAACTGTTCCAGAGATTCGACAGGCAGTAGATCACTCCATTTGCACCATCAACAAAGCAGGCTTTGCTAACAGTATACTAAACCTTTTAAATCGCTAGCAACAGGTTCTACACAATGCTGGTGACTACTTTAAAAGACAGTAACAGGAGCAAACATGTAACTGTTTTGTATCGGTTGTGAATAAATAGTTGCTACTATTTAAGTTCCAACCTACGTATATAAAAAAAAAAAAAATAACACAAGAGTACAGATATTTTTTATTAAAAAATATAAATTTTGGGTTTAGCGATTTAACATTACTGGACATTAGAATATCTTACTGTATAAATAATGCTTTTGACTTTTTAAATTATTCTATGCAAGTTCAACATATGTCATATATAAATTAAGTAAATAATAATATTAATGAGAGAAAACATTAAAAAGCATAAGAAGAGAAGCAAATAGAACATATTATAATAACATTATATATAGAAAACAAATATTATACGTATGTTACACAATGTGACAAAGTTTTTATCAAGATTATTTTTAACAAAAAGAAAATACAACATTAATTCAATTGTTCCCTTCCCCATTTGTAAACTAATTGTATAGAGATCAATGAAGTAGTGGGCTGTTTTCTTCTAATAAGAAATCCAATTGAACTTGTGCATATTACAAATCTCTGTAGTACCTTTTGTTATTTATTGAAATCTTTCACTTATATATTCTCTCACAGATATTTAATTCTTGTGTAGTATTAATACTAATAAAGAAATAGTTTATAGTAGTAGTAGTAGTAGTAGCACACACACATTATTAATGTGGATGGTATTTCTATATATATATATATGTATATATATACAAGGGATAGTTAAAAGTGTTCACAGTAGTTTATAGCCCACTACTATCTCTCTTGAGTTGACTTTTTGTAATATTGATTGTTTCTTTTATTTATCTTGTTTAAACTGAGCTAACCTGAATTGAAGAAGTCAATGATTCTGATTCATTATGCGCCCTTAAGTTGATAGGAGCTTCTATATTAATATTGTTGTCGCCAGTGTCCCCACTTAATCCAAGTCGTTCTCCATCCATTAAAGAAACACTTTCTGTTCCAAATGAATTATTTTCTACACTATTATTCTTCTTTCTGTTCATACAACCATTAATACTTATGTCAACTTCTGATTGTTCACTGTTGTTTAACATAGAACTACTTCCTTTAATATTTTCTTTCGATGTATTTTGCGATCCAAGTCTCTTTTCCTTATCGGACATTGAATTAAGAGGATTTTTAGTTGCTTTACCATCCCTTTCTTTAGGCTTCTTTCCAAGTACTGGAAAATTAGTCATTTTTGACGAAATTTTCTGATCCTTTCCTTGTCGCATTGAGCCAGCACGATTTGGTTCTATTGATTCTTGTTCTTCAGTGATAGAAACCAAATTACCTTTCCCTTCTCCACCAGAATCTTCCTTTACAACTTGAATCGGTATATCATCTGTGAAATAAATACAAATACAAATTTTGTATTAAATTTTGAACATACTATTGATTGATTTAATCATTCTGTTCAATTTGAACTAATCAATGATATTTGACATCATTTATATTTAATAAAATAATATTTTAAAGCACCATGTATACATAAGGTATTTAATATAATAATAATAATAATAATAATAATAATAATAATAATAATAATAATAATAATAATAATAATAATAATAATAATAATAATAATNTAATAATAATAATAATAATAATAATAATAATAATAATAATAATATATATATATATATATATATAAATAAACTTTTAAAGCAAAATTTGTGAATAAATAAGCAAATGAGAAGAAAAATATATAACTGAATTTGTGTAGTTTTAATCTATGTATATATATACCAAATGGTTTAGGTGCATTAAACTAAATATATATTGCATTATGCATGCAGTTTTTTGGGCACACATAATATGTGCTTTGTATGTACTTGTATTCCACATCACTTGATGGTGGGATAATATTTCTGAAATAGTCATAATCTATATATATATAATTGCATAAGTTATTGATCATAGAAGTGGTTAATAGTGCTCGTATTAAATCAAATATTGTAATCGCGTGATTGGTGAAGAACTTTGGCAAAGATTAAGTGATCCTAGATTGCAACGACTTTATATTGAATACCATGTATTTGTTGATAATGCAATGGTAGTAGCAAAAGTGCCTGTTGTTGTACTGCTTCCTGTATACAAACTTTCCGATGATTCTTGAATAGCCTCTCCTAAAGCTTGTTCTTCTAATACACTATATAAATGTGTACTGGTATTTAATCTATTTTCATTATAAACCGAATCGTATATTTCTGTTGTATCTTTCCATTGTCTTTGTTTTATAATACCATCTTCAATACTATTATCACCAACAACTTTTCGTTGGTTTTCTTTATTCTTTTTATAAGGTGATCTGTTTGGTGAGTTTTGATTGCTGCACGTGCTCCCTCGTCTGGAACTTTCCAGAGAGGTGGAAGAATGAGTTTTGCCAATATCATCCTCATCGAGAGAATTGGAAAAAGCATGCTTCCAAAGCCAACTACGACGTTTATTACTTCCAGACGATGTTGGTTGTTGATGCTTCTCAACTTCAGTACTGTGTAACTCATCCGCAAACAATTTTTCATCCAGATCATCTAATGACACATGTGTGTAACAAATGCACATTCATTGAATTTACTTGTTTTTTTATGTATATATATATAGAAAATAGAAACATTGTTATAAGTTTAATTACGGTATGATCAGAGATTCGTAATTGTGTATTTGATGTAAAAAAAAAAAATTACTTGCTCAACATAGTAGAAGTAACAGAGAATTATTAACTTATTCAATGTTTATAACATTGAATTATTTTTTAGAAACGTTTATGTGCACCTTTTTTTCTGCATCGTATATTACACTTCTATTTACACATATATTTACGTTTCTAAATTTAATATTTACATTTGTATTTGTTGTATAGTAATATATTCTATGAAAATGTTAGTTTATATGTATTTTTTGTAACTATTGTATTTTATACTTCCCTTATTTGTTTAATTAAAGTACAATGTATTTTCAATTATACATCATTTTTTAAAATAAGATAAAGACACAATTATTATCTTATATTATTTCTTTTTACAAGGTGATGTAAAGATAATTGAAAATATACTGTAACAATCTGTGTAAAATATTATTATTTAAAAAAATCATATATTCATTCCATATTTATATATGAAATGTTACAATATTTTGTCATATGTTTCATTTCTTTTTGTTTTTGTTTTGTTTTAATAGTACAAAGCAATACAAAGCAAAAGAATTGTATATTTGTAGACTTATAAACAATTTAACGATACCAACGTATGAAAAGAAAATATATATTATTTCTGTTAAATACATACCTGGTAATTTTTTAGTGCGGAAAGATGCATTTGTAATCATAGATTTGGATATTGTTGGAGTTGCAGTTACAGAAGACAATGCAACACAAATACCAATTGATCCATCACTCGATTGACCTAAAATTACAAAAATCATATTAATCAAAATATGTAGAAGAAATAATATATTTTTATTGTAAATCAAATATTTACCAGATGGTCCAGAATTAGCTGAATTTCGTATGGCATTTGTAACCAACATTACATCAGGATACATTTCATAACACGCTCTGTTGTGTATATCCTCCACAGCTTGACTTGCTATATACCAACAATCATTGTACCTAATAACACATAAATATTTGATAATTAATAATTGTTTACACGTTAAGTAATAGAAGAATTTAATAAGTATCATACATACATTGCAAAATATACCGCTTGAAGAAATTCAAGAAGAAATTGAGTTGAAACTGGTATGCGTGGTAAAAGTCTTGGAACAAAACTAGATTCGCTGCCATATGAAGATCGTTGATGGTGTCCAGGTTTTGTAAAACCTTGAGTAACAAGCCTGTATTAACAACATACAGTTGATGATTAATTATTTCATAATAAAACCTTCATAACAGCTCCAATGAAACAATACTCAAGCTGATAGTTACTTTAGATTTAGAATCTTATTAATCAAGCTTACTTTGTTGCAACTTTGCACAATTGCTCCAAAGCAAACTTATTTATATAACCCAGTTGTTGGTTGTAAATAAAAAGTAGAGCGGTCATCACTTTCAATCTATTTTGAGCATTCAGTGTTTCTACTTGACGTAAAGGGCCCCAACTAACAAGTTTTGTATTGCATTCTTCGAAACGACGTACTGCACTTTCGGTTAAGGATGCTGGTGTCAAACTTGCAGGCTACTCAACATAAAATTTATATATAAATATAAGATATTATTACTATATATTAAGTTACCATTAATTTATATATATACGTAGGTTGGAACTTAAATAGTGGCAACTATTTATTCACAACCGATACAAAAGAGTTACATGTTTGCACTTGTTACTGTCCTTCAAAGTAGTCACCAGCGTTGTGTACAACCCGTTGCTAGCGTTAGCAGAGCCTGTTTTGTTGATGGTACGAATGGAGCGGTCTACTGCCTATCGAATCTCTGGAACAGTTTTGAAGCGAATGCCATGATGGATTCCGCATGAATTGACGGAAATGCAGAAATGGATGCGTTACGACGCTGCTCAGACGCACTTAGAGCGCTATGAGCGCAAATGAGAGGCTTTCTTACTCCGTATCGTAACACTGGATGAGACATGGCAGTAGACCGCTTCATTCGCACGATCAACAGAACAGGCTCTGCTAACGGTATACTATGCCTTCTACATGGCTGGCAACGGGTTCTACACAATGCTGGTAACTACTTTGAAGGACAGTAACAGGTGCAAACATGTAACTCTTTTGTATCGGTTGTGAATAAATAGTTGCCACTATTTAAGTTCCAACCTACGTATATATCATTTTTTTTGTAATTTATCTGCAATAACTGTATTTCATGTTATTTTTTTTAATAATCAAAAATTTGGTATTCAGATATTAATATACAATATATTTTTTTTAAAATACAATAAAATTTGTATACCTCGTGATATATAGATAACATAGCGAGAGATGGTAATCGAAAAGAAACTGCCTTTTGTTGTCCAGATTTATCCACTACTTCAAGATTATATAATCCAATTAGAAGAGTTTCAACTGTACGGCAATTCTATTAAATATAGCAATCAAATAATTAGGAAAGATAACAGAATAACATAATGTTTCTATATACCTAATTAATTATTTAATTATATAGACATATGTAATAAAAATAAATATATATATATTATTTTCTAAATAAGCAAATATCAATCACAATTATTCATAATAGTACTAGCATAATAATTAATAATACATATTTATATTCTCACACAAGTTTTGAATGGTACAATTAAGATGTCACATGTCATATCTTATATGCATATTTTGAATGCAAATTACACCTGATCTACATTATGTAACACTCTTTTTCTTACATCCTATGTTTGTACTTTGAACGTATACAAAAAAAAATGTAGAAACAAAAAAAAAACACAAAGAAGCATTGACAGTTGTACGCATAATATAATGGAAAAATAATAAATTATAACTAAAAAGATAATTTATTAATGTAATATTTATTACCTTGATATCGCCATGTGCAGCAGAATTTAAATAAATAAATATCAGCGTAGGTAAAAATTGCAAAGTAAATCTTCTGAGTTCTATCTCTTGAGAACGATAGAAATCAAATAGTTGATTACAAACCGTATCTACAAGCTGAAATAAAGAGAATAAATAAGACAATTATAAAAATGATAATAATAATTATAAATGTATTAATTTATAATTGAAAATAATAAAAATACCTGGCTATATTTGCTACGCTCTTCGAGCAATACGTAAAGTGCTCTAACTATCTCATTATCTTGTGATAATGTATTAGCAAAGGTATGAAGTTTAGATGGTGATATATCTCCACAATCTGCCAACCATTCATTTATCAAGCTTTCTGTCATTTTCTGCTTGAACCTATATTTTCATCGATAAATTAACATTTGATTTATTAAAATATTGAACGTTCTCTTACAACAAAGTAAAACTCCGTTAATCGTTCCCAGTAACTTTAGATTATTAACTGTCAAAATAATATATTCAAATATCATTAAAAAGTAATCGTTGCTTTTTAATATATAATGTCAAATGTGAAAAAAAGAAAAGAAATGATTTTAAGTAACGTTATATTAGAACTTATTTTACTCTATTATAAAAAAGGTAACATTATGTTTAAATAATCAGTTGATTACCAAGTTTTTAATAATGCTATCTCAGTCGAATATTAATGTCGATGTATTATTAATTATCATCGTCGTATTATTAGTCTTATTAATGATTGCAGCTGACAGCAGCCAAGTGTATAAATTCGCGTTATTAAGGTCTGAGTATTGACAAATCGCTACCTTATCGATAGTTAACTCAAATCAGTTAAAATCGTGTCTAAAAATTTCTGAACACACGTAACTCATATACATCCTGTCTAGGCTTAAATCCCTACTGTACTGCCCACTATTCCTAAGCTACTACAGCGCCAACTTCTTTTAATATTTCTTTTTTACACTCTATCTGTCATTATTATTCGCATTTAATTCTTCTTTCATTTATCTTCTTATATTTTTCTTTTTCTTTTTCTCTTGTCTTTCTATTACGTATATCTATTGTAAAAAATTATTAATTATATTGATCAAAAAACATTCAAGTAGTTACGACTTTTCAAATATTACCGCCAAATTTGAAATGACACTTTCACGAATAATAATGTCTACATAAGCAATTTATATTTACGAAAGAAATTTACTTTTTTTATTTACGATTAATGATTTATAATATATTTATTTAAAAATAAACTTATATGTTTTTAAACAAATTTGTCTTGATACTTTTATAATTAATTTTTGCGAATTAATTTCACTATATCGATACGTCAAAATCATTTTAGGTTTTCTTTGATTTTTATTGGTTAAAATTTTTAGAGATAATCTCGATAATCGAAATTAACTAATCGATTTTTTGAATTCGACTAACTTCAATATTGTAATCGATCTTGAAGTTTTTCTCTCATAGAGAAATATTGAATAGAATTTATTTAATATTAAAATAAACATGAACGTAACGTTTAAATCACGTCAAATTTTGATCACATGTCAACAAAATGCAATCATTCGATTTCCACGAATATACCTGTCAACACAAGAACACGTAATCAAGTAAAAACCATTATGACATAAACATTATTTTTAGAACAACAATAGTTACATTTTATATATTAATTTTTTAGGTTAGTATTTTTACAATTACCTATATTTTTATTGATTATTATTATTATATTTTAGGAAGAAATGGAAACCGACTATTGGTTTAGAAATTCATGCACAAATAGCAACAAATTCAAAATTATTTTCTCCTGCTTCTACAAAATTCCAAAAACCAGTTAATTCAAGTGTATCTTTTTTTGATTGTGCAACTCCAGGAACAATGCCGGTAACATTTTAATTTATTTATATATTTATATATATAAAGATTAATTAACATGATAAATTATTGTAGGTGCTCAATAGAAAATGTGTCGAAGCAGGTGTTACAACAGCTTTAGCGTTATCTTGTACATTAAATGAAATTTCAATCTTTGAAAGGAAACATTACTTTTATCCAGATTTACCAGTACGTTAACTATTTCTTTAATAATAAATATGCTCAAATATATTTGAGTCATTCATAAATCAAAGCAATTAATTATCACAATTTGGATATCACAGTGTCACATTTATTTCTATGCATTTTCTGCATATGTAGGCTGGATATCAAATAACACAGTGTAAACAACCATTGGCTAGTAATGGTGAATTACATTTCTTAGTAGAAAATCCAAAAGTATGTAAAGAACCATATGCAAAAGTTTCAAAAATAAAACAGATACAATTAGAACAAGACAGTGGACGAAGTTTTCACGATGAATCTATTGGAAGGTAAAACAGAAAAGTGATTCTAATAATATTAATTATATTATTATATAATTTACAATATTATGTTTCATTATTGTTCTTTTATAATAATTTTTTCAATTCTAATATCAATATATTGCAGAGTTCATATATATCTGTTATAATAGGAATCTTATTGATTTAAATCGTGCTGGTGTACCATTGATGGAATTAGTTTTTGAACCAGATTTAAATGATGAAGAAGAAGCAGCAGCTGCTGTAAAAGAATTAGTTAATATTTTTCGAATATTGGGTACTTGTTCGTGTAAAATGGAAGGTCTACAATATATATATATATATATATTTATATTAAGCGTTCAAAAGATATTCAGAGACAAAAATCAGTACACATGAAAGTTTGATGATGAATATCTTTTGAATGCTTAATTTAATCGCCAAAACATAAGACACCATTTTTATAGAGCAGTTAATTTCCTACAAAAATTTGTATTGTGCACTTTTTAATAGTCATTTATTGTCGAGTTATAAAATTCATAAGCAAAATTGAGATTTGTCTAAAAATCATCAAATTTAAATCTTCAATATTATTCAAATGGTGAGGTTTACGGAAAAAATATAAGATACCTTTTTTGTAGAGCATTAAATTTCCTACAAAATTCGTCTAGAACAATTTTCTGTACAATCAATAAATAATGAGGTATGAATTTTAATCTATTAGACTGAAAAAAAAATAAAAAACTGCGATGCGAAGGATCTTCCTATTAAAATTAAGAGCTCATATTTGGTGAGAATTGTTTTAAGGTGTCTAGCAACCCATTTTTCCGTGGCACTTGAAAAAAAAAATCATTTTTTTGACCCACCCTAATACATATATTATTTATAAATATAATATTGTAAATATCGATTTTTATAATTGTAATATAATATTGTAGAAGGAGCATTCAGAATCGATGCAAATGTTTCTGTAAGTTCGGATGATAATTTGGGAGTTCGTACAGAATTAAAAAACATTGCACATGCACGTGCTGTTGCTTCTGCCATAAAATACGAGATAAATCGACAGATTTTACTTCTACAGTGTGGGAAGCCAGTTATTAATGAAACTAGAGCTTGGGATAGTGTAAATAAGAAAACAGTTACATTACGAGAAAAAGAGGAAAAACAGGTGTGTCAGTATATTAAATTTTAGTCTTGAAATTTATTAACTTGTAATGTTAATATTTTGTGAACAAATAATTGAATATATTATTTTTAGGATTATCGATTCATGCCTGAAACAGATCTTCTTCCTTTACGAATATGTCTTGAGAATACTAACAATAAATACAACTTGGTAGATGTTGCTACATTAAAAAAACAATTACCTGAACTACCAATTGAAAAACGTAGAAAATTGAAAGAGAAATATAATCTTAAGGAACGTTTAATTTTACAATTAAGTGTTAGTTTTAATATCATTTAGTTTAAACAAAAAAAGAAATGAATTTATAATTAATATAATTTACTTTTATTTTATTTTAGAATGAATTAGAATATTTGGAATTATTTTTCATTGTTATTGAAGGAAACAAAAATCTTGATCCAAACGTAGCAGCAAATTTTATCATAAATACATTACAATTATTTTTAAATTCAAATGAAATCAATTTCGATTATTGGTAAGTTATCTCAATATATTTAAATTTAGTTAAAAATATTAATTGATAATATTTTTTTTTTAGCAAAGATAAAATAGAACATATTTCAGAATTAATTGATTTGTTGCAATCTGAACAAATTAATGTAGCAACAGCAATCAAAGTATTAAAGTATTTAAATGAGAATTTAGACAAAAGTCCTAGTCAGGTAACTTTAATCTTACACATTACAAAAATACTATTTAATTTGTCATTGTGTGAAATAAATACATTTTAAGATATAATTAAATTCTATAAACAACTTAATGTATATTTTTATTATAGCTCGCAAAAGAGAATAATTGGATATTGATAAATGATGAAAATGAACTAGAAATAATATGTAAAAAAATTATTGAAGAAAATCCAAAAATAGCCAAAAAATATGCAATTGGAAAGAAGAAAAAAGAATTTAAAACATTATTAGGAAAAGTAGCTCAAACTACAAATGAACGTGCTAATATGAAAAAAGTAGCATCAATACTAAATCGTTTAATAACTTCCTAAAAAAAAAGGTATGCATTTATGAACTTACCTGGTATGTATATAATAGCACAAAGCAGTTTTTGTATTGTTATTTTAATTGCTCATTTTAATTTTAATATATCTTTTTTGATCACACTATTTTATAATGTATATCTTTCTTCTTTCTTTCTTCTTTTAATATATATAAATTACGTGTCACGTTGTTTGTTCGCAATGGACTTCTAAACTACTGAACCGATTTTAATAAAATTTTGCACACTGTGTGCAGTTTCATCCAACTTGAAAGATAGAATAGTTTATATCTCAATTTATAATCGCAATATTATTTTATTGCGAATTATTTGTTTATTAACAAAGAGTTATGATTATCTCTGTTAGTTCGATAAGATTCTAACAGATGGCGGTATAAGATAATTCGTTGACTTAAAGCGTGTATATCGGACTGATACATATATATATATATATGTAACATATATATAAAAGAACTTTCACGATTGCTTTTAAAAAAAGCTACTGTTTTTTTTTTCTAACATTATTTACATATTGAAAATATTATATAAAAAATCACGATAAACTCTTTTTGCACATAATAATTCTCTATATAAATTGTAATATGTCACAAAGTACAAAAAAAATCAAATATAGGAAATAAATAATAATTCTGATATTACAAATTGGAGACTAGAATTATAGATCAGTCTCCCTTTGCAACTATAAACGTGTTGCCAAAATCGTAGTAGGTTTTATTCTTAAATATTTATAATCATTAAATAAAATCTAGACATATCGCATATCATTCAAATAAGTCTTTGTCATTTATATTCATTTCTTATGCCTGAGAACGTGGACATGTCTATTAATTATATCCTGGAAGATAAAAGCAGATGACAATCTTTATCAAATAATTAACAGGTTTTTGTCATAAGAAAAAAAATAATTATAATGCTAACAACTTGAACATTTCAATTAGTCACAAATGATAATGAATTACTCGTAAATTTTTTCTCAGTCATTTTAATCGTTGACAAATTGTTTCTCTAATTTTATAAATACTGATAATAATAATTAAAATGAATAATAATAATAATAATAATAATAATAATATCTAGTTAATTGATTTACTGCACTAATTAAAGATAGCATCTATTTTTTTTCTTATTACTCTCTCCATTCGTAATACTACTAATTAAAAATACGTCATATTAAAATATTAATTCTATGAAAACAATAATAATAATAATTAATATTTGATAAAGATCATCCTGCATATATTGCAAATTGCGATATTAAATCAATTATTATACAGTGATTATAACTATACAATAGAGAATAGTCAGTTTTATACAATAGAATTGAAAACTTTGTTGAATATTATATCAATTATTTAAAAAATAAATTATCAAGTTATAAGATTTTTGAAAATTAATACAATGAGAATAAATAGTACTCTGATGTATATATATATATAAAAAGCAAATGGATCTAAATTTTTAAATTCTTTATCCAATTGTTCAGTTATAATCTATTCTTGTTTTTTTTTTTCCATAGATCCTACACATATAAATTTGTATTTATATAAGAAACTTTTTTGATTTTTTTTTGTTGTTTTTTCTTTTTTTTTCTTTCTTTCTTTTTTTCATGTGAACACTTTGAAACTATATAATACAATAAGCACATACATATCACTATTATATAATACAGAGAACATATCTATATACTAAACAGTTACACAAGAGTGTTATTTAATAACAAATTTCATTATGAAATAACTACCTCCCTCCTCCATATATATCTTTTTACAATTGTTTACAATAATAAAATTTAAAAAAAAAAAAAAAAAAAAAAAACACAATATCACTTGTACGATATTTTTTTCTTTTTTTTTTTGCTTTTAATTAATTACTTATAAATAATGTAAAAGTCGTATTCATTGACGTGACATTTTTCTTAGTACATAATTTAATTTATTGAATGAATTATTTTTTTTTGTAAAATTTTATATAAAGGGGGATCATCTTTTCTTTTCTTTTTTGGCTGTTGTTGTAAAAAAAAAAATGTCGTGTCTATGAATACGATTTACAAACCTAATTAATCAGATGCAAGATTAATATCTTTTTATTTATTTTTTTTTCACGAACGCTACTGCAAAAATATGCTCGACCTATTTGGTATATGTATATATGTATATATATTTAGTAAATTCGTTAAAATTAACAGATTTCCTTTTGTTTTATGGATAAAATTCCACAAATGCTAATATGCATTAATGCACAATGCACCACATATATATTTACTTCAATGAAATATAAGTTAGCATATTTAATTTTATTCAAAAGTGATAATATATTTGCTGCATTATTACTAGATAAGAAGCAGCAAAATAGCCATAAAAAAGTTATCACTCTATGATAATTGAAATACACGTTCGACGAAAAAAAAAAAAAAGAACAATCATAATGATAAAAAGATTTTTAAAAATGACAGTCTTTAGAAAAAGGCCACTTGAGGATTACTGTGAAAATATCATTTCCACAGTTTTCTCACATTGTTCTATGTATTTTTTATAAAATGCCATGGCAATTGTAACTTATAGATTTTTTTTTTCTTCTTCTTCTTCTTCTTCTTCTTTTAAGGACGAATGTCAGAAAGATAATATATATATATATATAAATAGTTAAATTCTACTTTAATATAATGTGTATGTGTAATATGTATATGTATATATGTATTCTGTATTCCCCCCATATAGGGGATATATAGAACGTTTCGCACAAGTTATTATTATATATATTTACAAAATGTGCTTAGAAAGAGTCAACATCACCAGCATGATTAATTAAAATTGTTGTTATAATAAAATGAATTGTTTTTTTAAACAAATATATAGATTGAATAAAGCTCAACCTCTGATCTTGTTCATGTAGTATATTGGCACACTATCATGATTTAAGAAATTTGATTGAAAAAAAAAATGAAAAAAAAAAAAAAAATAAATAAAAACAAAATTCAATAGAGTAAAAATTCTAAATTTGCTCATGATCAAATTATAAGATGATC